TACCTTTTAAAAATTCATTGTTTCATTATCTAATTATTGACAATAAAGTTATGAGTTTAGGAATACTGATATTGTAGACTGCAGTCTTCAATATTATTTTTTAATTTACATCTTTTTATACATTTTTTATATTTGATACTTGAAATTCATTTGCCTGCGGGCGCCCATAGACCCCTTCCTATTTTCATTTTTAAATTTATACTTTATAATATTTTTAAATATATTTTTTTATTTTGATTCTTACAATTTATATGCCTGCGGGCACCCATAATCCCCTTCAAATTATTTTTCAATAATTTAACTCAAGTTCATTGTTTTATGTTCTAATTATCGTTAATAAAGCTATGGGTTTAGGAATATTGATATTGTAGACTGCAGTCTTTAATATTTGTTTATAATGTACATTTTTAATACATTTTTTAAATTTGATTCTTAAAATTCATTTGCCTGCGGGCGCCAATGCACCCCTTCCCATTTTTAATTTATATTCTATCATATTTTTCATATATATTTTTTTTTTTTGATTCTTAAAACTCATTTGCCTGCTGGCGCCCATGCTCCCCTTCAATTTTTTTTCCACATTTTAACTCTAGTTCAATTATTAAAAAACATGTTTTTGAATTTTGATAAATAGTTAGTGCCTTATAAATATTCATTGTTTCATGATCGAATTATTGTAAATGATGCTATGAGTTTAGGAATACTGATATTGGAGACTGCAGTCTTTAATATTTTTTTTTAATGCACATAATTTTTTTTCTTTTTGTTTATTAAAACTCATTAGCCTGCGGTCGCCCATGCACCCCTTCTCATTTTTATTTTTAAATTTATACTTTATAATATTTTTTTATAATTTTTTTTATTTTGATTCTTAAAATTCATTTGCCCGAGGGCGCCCATGAATCCCTTCACATTTTTTTTTTTTGAAAATTAAACTCTAGTTCAATTATTTCCAAACCGTTTTTTAATTTTTGATGGTCAGTCAGTGCCACATAAATATTCATTATTTCATTAGCTTATTATTGTAAATAAAACTATGAGTTTAGGAATAATGATATTGTAGACTGCAGACTTTAATATTTATTTTTAAAATACATTTTTCCATATTTTTTTTTATTTTGATTCTTAAAAATCTTTTGCCTGCGGGCGCCCATGCACCCCTTCCCATTTTTATTTTGAAATTTAAAATTTTATCAATTGTATAATTTTTTTAATTTGATTGCTTAAACTCATTTGCCTGCGGGCGCCCATGCCCCCCTTCCCATTTTTAGTTTGAAATTTAAAATTTGATCAATTTTTTGTATAATTTTTTTTATTTGATTGCTTAAACTCATTTTCAAGGAGATATAATTTTTAAAAGGCTAATTACCATAAATACAGCAAAAGGAGTAAAATATGTACATAGAAAAAAAATGTTATATTATTCAATTATTTTGTTTTTTGTTTTTTAACAACTTTTATTTTATTTTTATGTTTCTCTTTTAACATTCTAATTTGTTTTCCGGGTCTTTTTCTTTTCTTTACAACTGGATCTTCTGGTTCCGGTTTACGACACATAACAGAACCTGGTCTTTCCACAAGTTCCACAATTGGCTCACTAATAAAATAAAATGATTTATTATTAAAATTGTATGACTTATCTTGGGATGAATGTTAGGTTTAGTGATTTAGTATTTATGTACATTTACCTCTGACTATTTTCTAAAACATTATTATTTAAGCATTCAGGTAGTTCAAAATTTGGTAGCCATTTGGTTTCAGACATCTTTGATTGGTTCACTAGAGGCTTAAAATTTTGATAGGACCGTGAAAATGATTTGTTCAATGATTTGGTAAGTATCCACACTCTGCTAACCATAGCAAGGGCAATGTTCATTTCTAACCAACATTGACCATTCTGGAACACTTTAACTATCAGTTGAGCTGTTCCTTCACCAAATTTCTGTAGTTGATTGATCAGGCTTAAAGCTGCTAAAATACGAGTACCAGCCCACTGACAAGCTTGTTTTGTTGGCATACCATTATCAAATGTTGACAGTAAAATTAATATAACCTCGGAGATGTTTAGTTGATAGAGTTTTTTTATTGAAACAGAAATCTAAATTAATACAAAATATATTGAGTAGTAACTAACTCATTAATTTATAGGTGCATAGCTAGTGTTTTTGAGACAACTGATAATTACTTGTTTAAGACGTCTAAAAAGTTTTTCTCCTCGAAATTTTTTCCTTACTTTACAGCACATTCTTGAAATCAGAGCACCTTCATCAAATAATTTTTTTAAATCGTTTGTTGCTTGGTTAGTAATAATATTTTTACACATTTCATGCAAATTGTCTAATTTCTCTGAAAAACAAAATGTCACTAAAAATAATTGAGTAAGGAGGAGGTTAAGAACAATATTTAAAAATAAAAATCAAATTTAGTGATACCTATTATGTTTTATTTTTTTTTTCATAACTATGGCTTTAATTTTACCAATTTTGTGTTTAGATTACAAGTTGGTATATCAACATTACTTGAAAAAATATGATCAATCCATAAATGAAATTCAAAATAGAGGTTGCTATTAAAAAAAAATAAAGTTGTGTTGTGTACGCGTACGAGTTAAAAAAATTGTAAGTCATAAAAATGTATAACCCATTAGCCTAGTAATCTAGTTGAATGTCCCATAAACAGAATTTTAAATTAATTACAAGGTTATAAATGGTAAAAGTGTACACTGTGTCCGCGAGCACACGGTATAGTGTAAGTGTAATTGATCTGATCTTAAGGAAAGGATTGTTGCTGTTCTAATATTATGAACCTAAGAATTACCAAAACCATAAAAACTTCTATAAAAATCAAAAGCATAAAAAATTATAAAAAAACCAAAATATAATTGCAATTTCTAGTGATTCCTAACCAGCCGTGGCACATAAAGGCCTTAGCCCACGGCTAAATTAAAAAATTGGAACTAAATATTAAAAAAATATATTTAATACATTTCTGTTATTGGTGGCTAAAAGTCACTCGACACTTCTTACCTTTGCTGATGGTTGCTCGAAGACTCATTGCCCTTGGTTGGGGAAGATCTATCCGGTAGCAACAAGCTAACATTATTAATGATATAAAGTAGGTACTGTTGGGTTCGATAAGTAAGAAGTAAGAACTGAGAACAAAAATGAGAAAATAACTTTAATTTTTAGTTTTCCGTTTTCCGTTTTTCAAAAACTATTATCTGATCATACCGATAGTCGATACCATTTCACGAACACTGAATAATATTATACCTATACTACAAATTTAAGTATCCCATCGGCATAAATAAAATATGATAAGGTGAGTACCAATTTGAGTTCTTCATGATGCTGGAAATAATTACAGCAAGCGCTCTCTGTGAGAGAAAAGTACATTATCGTGTCGCTGCCGGCTGCCTGCTAAATTTAAAATGTTGCAATTCTTTTTACTAATGTAAATATTTAATTTAACAATTTTATATTATTTTCCAAACATTTTATTGAAGTCTGCTTTCAATCTGTACAAGTTTAACAGTAATTTAATTTTATAATCTAAGTCATATAAATTTTATTATTTTATTATTTTATTATAATAATCAATCTGTAATACACAACTAATATATTTATTAGTCCTGATTAAATTTAGCAGTTAATAGATACGAGAAACCACATTCTTCCAAAAGATATTCTACTAAGTATACTCAGTACCAGTTACCCATGTCCTAATAATATCCTCTTCCTTGAAATGCTTTTAGCAAATGAGAAAATGTCCATTTAATTTCATAACTAGTGCATTTTCCCACAAATCTAATGATGCTTTGGGTATACCAAAAGTACTACTCTTGTATAGTGTTATACAATAAGGAATGCAGCACTTAATTGTATTATATTTTTCCAATTTGAATAAATATTTTTTTATAGTTTGAAGATATCCTATGAAGTCTCAAATCTCAAGTGTTGTAGAAATAATACCATATGTTATGCAAAATAACAAAGTTTTGTATGCGGCTATGTAATAAGTACCTAAAGTACATAAAGTATTTATATATATCTTAAATCGTGGAACAGAATCTATGACATAAATTTAAATTATTAAGTGTGGTAATTAGTTCGTGATTTAAATTGTGATAATAGAGAGCGCTAGCGTCTTTTTCCACAGCTGTGGCCTGTGAGTTAATTTCGTCTCCAAACTTTAATCTTTTCGGTATAGGTTGTTGTTTACAGACGTAAATATTTCTGTGGTTATGTTATTATCGTGATTACCGGTTGATACAATATAATGCAATTTTAAATATTATAAAAAAATAATAATGGATTTTTGGCGGTTTAGTGTTTGACGTTTTGTGTTTCTCATGGTTTTTGTTAGTTTTAAACTCCTTTTTCTATGCGTTCGAAAGTCTAGTTGTTAAAATTATCTACAACATCTCCATAGAGTTAGATATTAGATACCTACTCGAGACTATTCACTCGTTCACATTATTATACTCAGTGCTCGTAATATCTGTTTTAGGCAACATGCCTAAAGTAAGTATGGCCATAACATTAAGTATTTTAATATTTATTGCTCAATACATTATACATTATTAACTAAAATTAAGTAATAACTATTGATTGTGTTTCAATTTTTTTAAAATTGAAATGCTTTTATTGTTCAAAAATATACACAACAAAGTACTTCAGAATAAAATTAATTTTAGGATATAAGGTCATACTTTGCAAAAACTGACGGGACCAACAAAAAGAAAGACTTAAAACATACAATAACACCAAATCAAAAAGGAAAATCATCTAAAAAAAGGCATGTACTATCAAGTGATGATGAAGATGATGTAGTACCTCCTACACCAGCTCATAAACAGAAACAAATATTACCTGAAAAACGAAAACTCATTAATCCAGCGGATGTTTTTGGTTCAGAACCAGTAAAACAAACCACAATCAATGTGATAAAACAAAAAAAAAAAACTCAAGTGCGTATTAATGAAAGGATTTTTAAAAGATTTTATTTTAAGTAGGTGTAAATACTACTGTATTAGAGTACCTTATAAAATTTAGATCGGTATTTGAAAGTATATTACATCAACTGTTGTCTTATAATTTTCTTTTAAGCTTAATACTTATTTCCTAACAACTTATTTAACTTACTTTATATTTATTTTAATATTATTTATATATATTTTGATGTACATATGTATATTTGTTATAGGTAAGTAGTCTTTCTAAAATTGTTATACATTTGTTATAAATTGTTCCTATATTTTAATTATCCTTGTTTGAATTGAATAAAACAAAATATTATGTTTTGTTTCGTTTATAAAAAGCAATTATATAAAAAAAAAAAAATTAAATTAATGCATTTATTATTATTTAGGTTGATCTGCTTGAACAAGAATTTGATTTTGAATGGGGCGAATTGGACAACATTGAAAAACAACTCAATGAATCAAAATCAAATGATATTTCTATATCTCCCAAAAAATCTCCAACTAAATCAAATCAAATTACACCAAAAAACTCTCCAGCTAAATATGATACTTTCAGAACACCTACAGTTTCACCAGCTAGTAAGGGAAATATTGTTATAACGCCCAAATCATCATCTAAATCTATCTCAACTCCCAATTCATCCCCAAGAACGACAAAACAATCAACACTTATTCCTCTAAAAACAAAAAGCCCATCACTATCACCAGTAAAGTTGGGACTTGAAAACCAAACAAATAGGATCAAAATTGAATCTCCGAAAAAAAAACTAAATTTTGTTGATGAAAATACAACTATTGGTAAATCAGGCTCTAAAAGAAAAATATCACCTAATAAAACACCAGAAAACAAAAAAATTAAAATTAGTCCAGTAGATTCTCCAGACACTCAAGTATGTATATTATTGCTTACTTACATTTTCTATAAGGCACATATTTTATTATATTAATTAACATTTAGGAAAGTGGGTATGCTACAGAATCATCTCCTTCACAGTCAGTTAAATCTGCTATCCTTATGGGCAATATTGAATCAAAACTTTGGGTGGAAAAGTATAAACCTTTAACATTAAAACAAATTATTGGCCAAACAGGCGAAAAAAGTAATGTTAATAAACTGGTAAATTGGTTAAAATCCTGGTATTCAAACCATGGAGTAGGGGTCAATAAAAAATTAACTAGACCAAGTAAGTTAGATCACAAATATTATAATTAGTTTATTAGTTAAAATTTATGACAACAAAATGTATCAATGCATTTTGGTAGGTCCTTGGGCAAAAGATGATAATGGAGCATTTTTCAAAGCCGCTCTTCTTTCTGGTTCTCCTGGTGTTGGTAAGTGTTTGGAATAAAATATATGATTTAAAAAAATTATACTATTAATAATTTGATTTAAGGAAAAACGACAACTGCTCATTTAGTATGTAAAGAATTGGGTTTTGATATTGTGGAATTTAATGCTTCTGATACAAGATCCAAGAAACAATTGCAAAATCATGTATCTGAACTTTTATCTTCAACTTCTTTGAGTCCCTTTTTGGGTGGAAAATCTGTAACTAAAAAGCATGCTCTATTAATGGATGAAGTTGACGGTATGGCAGGAAATGAAGATCGAGGTGGTGTACAAGAGTTAATTATTTTAATTAAAAATGCCAAATGCCCAGTAATATGTATGTGTAATGATCGAAATCATCCAAAAATACGTACATTGTCCAACTATTGTTTTGATCTTCGATTTCATAAACCAAAATTAGAACAAATTAAAGTATGAATACTTCTTAATTTTAATATCCAAGTGTTTTGGTACTTAAAATATTAAATTTTAGGCTGCTATGATGAGTATTTGTTTCAAAGAAAAATTAAAAATTTCTCCAGACACATTATCTTCAATTATTGCTAGTACAGATAATGATATTAGATTAACACTCAATCATTTGTCAGTTGTCGCTGCAGGAAAAGATAATTTAAACATAAACAAAAAATATATTAAAATGGTAATGTATAATTGATATCTTTATTCAGCTATTCTTATTTTTATATAAAAATGTTGTTTTAGGGCCCATGGGACGTTGTGCGTAAAGTTTTTTCTGCTGAAGAACACAAATCAATGAATATTATTGATAAATGTGACCTTTTCTTTTATGATTATAACATATCACCATTATTTGTTCAAGAAAATTATTTAGCTGCTGTTCCTCATGATGTCGAGTAAATTTGTTTTTAGATAACCATTAATTTTCTTTATTTAATTTTAATTTTTTAGAGGTTCTAAATGGAAAACATTTGAACGCTATTCATTAGCGGCAGACAGCATACGAATAGGAGACATAGTTAGTGCAAAAATTAGATCTACCAATAACTGGAGCTTACTCCCTGCACAAGTAATTATATTTCACTATTTTTACTTATTTAATAACGGCTAAGAAATAATAAAGATTTAATTGAAAAACACAATTTCATTCTTATAATAATAATAGAAGTATAAACAATCTTTAATTTTTTTATTAGAAATGTTTAGGTATTTTTCAAAGTTTTCAAGTAACCGTTAACTTCTCCAATAAATAAATCAAACGTCTCGTTAAAGTGTCTCATGACTTATTTATTATAAACAAACTACAACTATGTTAGCAATTAACAACGTATATAATAGTAATAATTATACATGTAGAACCTATCGCTCAACATTTCTCAAGTTCTAGCTTAAGATGTTTGCGTAACAACCTTATGCACACTTCTACCATTCAGGTAATACTCACACTAGGATGGCAGGGGGAGACTGGTTACCACCAACAAGACTGTACTCCCATCTAGAAGAGCTTACATAACTAATCAAATATAAAATAAATTTACATTATGAAAATGCTTTTAAATAATATATCTCAAATGTATGGTTTTAAAATTATTAAATTTAATAACTATTTATATTTTGGCTTAGGCTATATTTTCTAGTTATTGCCCTGGAGAATTTCTGAGAGGTCATATAAGTAAACAAATTAACTTCCCAGCTTGGCTAGGGAAATTTTCCAAGGGAAATAAAATGAACAGACTTTTACAAGAATTACAAATTCATACGAGAATAAGGTATGTGATATGTATATACCGTATATAATATATATTATACACTATACACTTTACAGTCTATACTTAGTTGTAAAGAAATATGTTAAATTTTAAATAAATAATTTAGATTATCTGCAAGTAAGGAAGCAATAAATCTTGATTACTTAACCACTCTACGAGATAAGATTCTCAAACCTCTTATTGATGAAGGCAGTGATGGTGTTCATAAATCCTTAGATTTTATGAATCATTATCATCTTGTGAAAGATGATGTGGAATCTCTCAATGAACTATCTTCATGGCCTGGCCATAAAGATCTTATGTCTGACATCCCAGCTAAAGTAAAAAGTGCCTTTACTAGAGCATATAATAAAAGTGCACCAACATTCAACGTAACAAAAAAGAATAAAAAAACCGTAGATAATGTTGAAGGTCTGATAGATGAACATGAGATTGATGATATGAGTGATGAAGATGACGAAGATATCGCAAATGATGCCTTGATTTCAATTGTGTGTATATACAAACAATATTGATTAAATATTTATTATAAAAATATTATTTATTTTACTAATTACTTCAATCATTCTATGTCTAGGTGAAGAAAAAAGCCGGTAAAAAAGCAGCATCACCATCACCGGCTCCTGATAAGAAAATCAAAAATAGTGGTGGTAGTGGCAGGGGTAAAAAAAAGAAGTAGTTAATTTTGTTATTATTGCATAAATTGTTTTTCTATTTGCTTAAACCTAATTTTAATAACTGTTGATCATTAGGAATAAAATAAAATTTCTTTTATACAATTTTTTTTTCAAATTGCAACACATTTACTATGTTTATTAATGTTTGTTTTATACAATTAATTATTACAATTATTTTTAGAAATGTTAGATAATTAACAATCATGATTTATTTAAATTTTTTAATTATGATGGCAAGTGTTGATATATTTATTATTTATTCCCTAATATCATTACTTTATTCTTATGATTTTCAAAATCAATAAAAAAGGACTGTATTCTTTGAGCATTGGCGTCGGTTATTATACTCCGGTTTCAGGGGCAGCAAGAGATTAATTCGGTCCATTCTTCAAATTCACCATTAAACCCAGCCCATAGTTTTACTATTTTTGCTATTGGGTATCAAAATTAAAGTTGTATTGATTATTTGTTTATTTGGATAAACAGTTGTACAGTTTTTATAGTAGACAGATTTATTAGTTTTATACTGATAAATTCTATAATCATAAAATATTCATATCTATACTTGACAAAAAAAAAAAATCATTTGTGGAAATATAATTTTACCGAGGCCCATTATTTAATATTTGCCGACCCCGGTAGCCCCAAATAAAGTCCAAGGGCAGCATATGCTGCCTCTGCTGCCCCCGTGCACACGCCTATGTGAGAGGATAATGTTACGTCCTGACTGATGTCTGATATGATATATAAATCAACTTGAGAATGAATGAATGACACCTACTTGATGTTTCTAGTATAAAATGTTTCTTTATTAATTATTATAATATACTAGTAGTTTGTGTAACATAAATACAATAATAATTAATGAGCAGTAAATTAGTAATTGAGAAGTGTGTTATGACAGATATAAGCGATGTTACCATCAAACCTTAATACTGATATCTACGATTGAAGGGGATGTTAAGACCTGCCTCTAAGTGTCTTTGATATTCATAACTATCTGGCTCTTTGCTAATCCGTTGTTGTAGTTTTCTCTATAGAATTTGGCATTCTGGATCCGTTTCTTTTTGATGAACATCCGAGTTCCGACTTTCCCCCGAAGAGACCTGTAATTCAACTCTACATTTCACAAAAAAAAATAATTTCAAAAAATAAAATATTTTGAAATAAAATAAAAATTTGCATGGGGTGGTAAAGTTCATTTTGGCCAATTATATTTATAAAGGTGCAAGTTATAGCAGGTATATTTATAAAAATTTATTTGATGATGTGTGTATGACTAGAAAACCTATTTGTTGATTTTGAATTTTTAAAATCATATATTTACATTCAATATTGTGTATACTCCAATACCTACTTATGTTCTGTGGAAAGTTTATCAATTATATGTCTACGTAAATACCAATTTTTGTGCCATCAATGGGTTTTTATTGTAATACGACTTTTTATGGGAAAACGATTTACATACAATGACTATTTACTTTAGCTCCAAATTTATCATAAATTCATAATTAATAATTTTCACACGCCCATGCGCATATCTCGGCCCCCGAGTAATGATGTCGGGTTAGAACACGATTTAAGACAGTAGTCTAAAAAATACGGCCTGCGTGCCCTTTCTATGTGGCCCGCAATAAAAATAAATGTTGAACAAAAATATATTTATACTGAGATTTACGATAAATTTGTAGGAAAATTACGCGAAGAAAAATTTGAAAAATTAAAAAAAAATCTCTCGCATCAAATAAAATTATTTCATAATATAAGAAGAGAAAATATTGATTTGGTTAAATGTAGTTATATAATATTTTTTCAATGATAATTTTGTAGTAATAATAAGTCAAATAAAAACAACTACTTCGTTTATATTTTTATAAATATTTTTGGCCATAGTAATTATAATAAAAGTAATTTCATAATATACTAAGTCACATTTAAATAAATGGATTTTGTATGTATGTTTGCCTTCATTTTGTCTTTAGTTTTTAGTGTATAAGTATAAAAATGACATTTAAAATTTGGCCCGCAAATTTTTTTTTGAAAAAATATACAGCCCGTAGGTAATTTGAGTTTGACTGTTTGAGGTCACTGATTTAAGATATTTTAAATCGTGGTCCAGTGTTAGATAACCGTGGTATCAAAAATATTTTTATCAGAATAAAATTAATAAATAATAAATCATAATCATAAATGATAAAACATTAAACACAAAAGTTAAAACAAACTGATGATGGATTTCGTTTTTTTCAAAAATTAGCTCTTATTCTTTTTTCTGGTCTGAAATGGTCAATATGCGACCGCATCAGCAAAAGCTGATCTTGAAAAATATTATGTAATTCGGTATATGTCATGTGTATGGTTTTTAATTCATTACAATCATGACGGTAAATTTAAACGTGTCTCACAAAGTTTTCCAAGCACTGCTCAATGTCGATATAGTAGAACTTTGCAAGTTGTCGGCAAAAGACATCCGTCCAGTATTGCCATGTCTGGTTCGGATGAGTTTAATATCATCGGCTGACAACATGGCCGATTACGCCGATGGCAAAAAGGATGTACTCACATTGTTGTCGGGAATAGAACTAGTCAATTCCATTGTTGCATTGTTGTCGATTGATTTTCACTCGTTAGAAATAGATGTTAAAAAAGAACAAATATTAAGGTAAAATTATATTGGCAATTTACATGAAACACTTTTTGTTTAGTATTTTAACTGTGTACATTTTTAAGACAAAAGTTGGGGAGTACTCAAGCTGACAGCGTTCTTATACATTCGCTACAAAATCCATTGTCCCTGGAATTTGAAAGAAGTGACTCTACTCGGCGGTTGAGACTTGTTTTGAGTGAAATCTTGTATATTTCTTCACAGGTATAGCAATTAATATAACAAACAATTATAAAATGGTAATTATTGTTTAAATTCCATCATGCATTAAGATTCAAGAGCATCGCGAAAAGCAGCATAGTGTACAGTCTTCAATAAATTCAGAATTTTATATCAAACAGTCAGATTTATTTGATTACCCAGTTTACATACCAGAAGTTTGTGATGTATTAAATATTGCTCTTTCTGAATTACCAGCTATACTTACAGTTCAAGACATTGCAGAAGTGTTGCTTCATGTGAAACATGGTCCCATTTTCATTTGTTGGATTGTAGCTAATTTTCCGGATTGTTTTTATGACGGTGAGTTATAAATTAATCGGTTTACAAATAATATAATTTACTATGAAATGTTTTTAGTTTGTACAAGTTTAATACAAAATTCAGAAAGATATGAAGAAGAAAATGGTGGTAGTCGCATTCGAATGGAAGTCTTAACTCAGTTAAGTGCTATGTATCCACCTGCTGCACTTGTCATTCGTGCTAAATGTGTAAGCACATTTTCTTTAACTAATGTTTGATTGCTTCTGAGCTTCTATTATTTTTTAATAGGTACTTTCAGGTTAGCGCAACTACTTTATTTCTTTTTGAAACTCAAACTGTTTACCGTAACTACCATGCTACTAGTATTTATTTTATAACACAATTATTATCTTCAACTGTTTTCTATAGAATTCTGTCCTCATAGTGGATGTGGGGTTGTAAGGTTCATGACAACATTTTTAATTATTTATATGTATTAAAAAGTTCATACCTATCAATAAATAACTTTTCGAGGTGCCCTTAATAATATTTGTACCCTAAATTTGATGGTAGGTCAATTTACTCTGATATTAAAAGTAATAGAGTGAAGCAGATTTTTGCTGTAAGTTAAATATTCCATGTTATGTCCTAGTAAGATAAAGTAACGAGCGAAGCCGGATTATTCAGCTAGTTAGTTATTTATACATGTTTTAAACAAGATACGGCTTAAGTCTTTAACTACTTTTTGTAATTTACACAATTTAACATAGTTGATCTTGATACAATTGATTTTTCAAATCGTTGATATAAAAATATAATTATGGCCAAATATGTCACTTATGTCTTTTAGCTTATTAGGGATTGATATGTAAATAATACTAAATGTATATGAGAAAAAAAATAATTTCCTATTATTTTATGTTTTTACATGTATAGGTTGAACTTAGTAAAATGCCTGCTTTGACTATCATGTTGACATTGGAAAATAAAATTTACAAAGTTTCAAATCAGAATAATGAACAATTATCAAGTAGTAATGATCTTGTGACATTCATTTCTGGCTTATTACTTGGAAATGATCAACAGGCCAGAAGTTGGTTTTCTCTTTTCATCCGACAAAAAGTGAGCACAAATACAATATATTATTATTCATTGATTAAAAATATATATTATTATTACAATTATTTTATTTAGAGAACAAAAGATTCTGTGAATTTTGCTGTTCAAAATATGCGCGATGAGTTATTATTACAATTACAAAACTTATTGAAAAATGTGAAAGATAACACTTTACCCAACTCAAGTGTAGTAGAATCTAGTGTACTACTAAGACTTTATTGTGCACTGAAAGGAATTGCCGGTATCAAGTATGTTAAATTAAGCTACAGTTTTAAAAATATATCAAATTATATTAATTTTAAGATATTATTTTTTGGCAGATTTCAGGAAGAAGAAATCACTTCTCTTGTGTCCTTAGCTACATGTTATCCACCCTCAACACCTGAAGGCGTAAGGTTTGTCACGATTTCATTGTGTATAATGATATGCTGCAATACCTTACTCGCAAGTCCAGAAAATGAAGCAAAATGTGTGCAATGGTTAAAGAGATTAGCAGGAAGCGAGTCTCCTTTTTTTGGAAAGTAATATTTTATTATTTATGTTTTAAGTGGAACTTACTTATTCAAAATTCTACCAAATTTAAAATGTTATACAATTACTTTAGGCCAACTGACACAACTGCAAGTTTTGGAGAAATGTTACTGCTGATGGCTATACATTTCCATAGTAGCCAGTTAACATGGATCTGTGATCATATGTGCAATACATTAGGAATGAGAATAAACATCAGACAAAGCACGATGGGCAAAATGAAACAAATTTTCACTCAAGACGTATTTCCTGAACAAGTAAGACTTTTACCACCTATCAATATTTCATCTGAAATTCTGTAATTTTTTATTTTGATGTTAGGTTGTAGCTTCTAGAAGTGTCAATATACCTGTCACTCCAAATTTAAATGCCAACATGTCTGGATTTTTACCTATTCACTGTGTTTTACAGTTACTAAAAAGCCAAGCTTTTACTAAACATCGCGTTAACATTAAAACATGGATATACAAGTATGCATGCTATAGAATTTAACTAATAATTTGAAATAGACATCAATTAAAATTATTTTGTTTTCTAGCCAAATTTGTGCAAGTGTTTCACCATTACATCCATTATTACCTTCTTTAATTGAAGCTTATGTTACTTCTATATTAGTGGTACCCAATAAAGCTACTCAAGAATTAGCTGTTAATCAACCGATTACAGAAGAAGACATTTTAAAAGTTTTTGGTGATAGAGTATTAGACCAAACTGGTAATGAGTCTTTTACAGCTCATCTTCTATTGCTGTATTATTTACTTTTATACGAGGAGAACAGTATGTCTTTGGCTTCTCAGCCCAATAGATTACAGTTAATTGGACTAGTCAGATACAAAACTGAATTCTTGGCTGACATCCCTATTCGATATATAATTCAACAAGCAGAAAAAGAGCATCCATATTCTAGTTTGTTTTCTACTTTATTAAGACTCTTAGCTACACATTTTCCTCATTTGTCTTTAGTTGACGACTGGATGGAAGATACAACATCAGAAAGTCAATTTGTATTGCAACACAAAGCTAAAAACATTACTACAGAAATGATAGAAAGCGGTATGGTAAAATAATTTATTTTTAATAGCAAACTTATTTGTTAAATTGAGTATGGTTTTAGGTTTAAGCATGATGGTTGAACGCCCTGAAAGAGCTGGAATTGTTTTGAAAAGGTTGTATGCGGAACGTCCAATTAAAATTTGGCCCTTTGCTCCTACCATATTAAAATTCCTACCAAACACATTAGATTCTAACGTTTCAAGATATATCCAAGGTAAAATATTGTTTTTTATTGTAAATTGAATAAGAATAATGAGTCTGGTATGGGGGAGTAGTACAAGGTTACCCTTCAATGCGCACCAAACCAGGCCTTTAAGTCTAATCCCTGTCAAAATGAGCCATGCACAAAAATAAACATAGAATAACATTAAATAATTGTTATTTTTAGAACTATACAAAAAAGTGTGGTTAAGACTTAATACAGTTTTGCCTCGTAGTTTGTGGGCACTTACTATTAAGGCTTTACAACATAGCAATGGAACAAGTGCATTGAAAGAAGAAAATTTAATTCAGGACCCTTTACAAGTTTTGCAATGTGATGCTAGAGTTTATAGGTAAAATATAAATTGATTTTTAGTTCAACTTTAATACATTTGTCATTTATTTAGGTGTCCAACAGTATTAAGTATTGTAATCCGAGTGTTGCAATCATCATTAGCAGCTTCTAGAAGTCATTTATCTCGTCTAGTTAATCAAAAAATATTTGCTACTGGACAATTAACTCAAACTAATAACCGTGAAGAATATAAAAACGTGTTGACAGCTGCACAAGACAGTGCAGCAGTGCAACTTTTATTAGAGGCTTGTTTGGAAACTGAAGATGATCAAGTAAGCTTATTTACTTAAAAATTTAGTTTGAGATGAAACAAAAATATTGTAAGAGATTTTATATACTTTATTATTTAAATAATTATTTAATTCACTTATAATTTTACTAATAGAAATTTAAATTTTGGAGCAATCCAAGCAGTCAACTGTGCTTAGTTGTGGTTTTATTGTATGATAAATACATGCTTATATAACATTGTGGACTCAGTTGGGGTAGTAATTAGGTATTACCTAATGAAAACTGGTCGCTTTCTGGATAGTCTTAGCTTATTTTGAATAGAACATACTCTTGTTAATTACAGTTAATTTAATTAACGGACAATAATTTTATTGATATTAATTATTTCAACAATTATATGCATAAACTTAACTATGAATTCTGGTATACTTTGTGTTCTAAAAGTGCTTTTTTAGATTTTGGCCAAACCTAGTCTTACATCAAATTTTTTTTTTGTTTTTAATATTTACCAAAAAAAAAATTTACTGTAAAAACCCCCTATTTTTAAATAGTCTTAATAATTTTTTAAGTAAATTGAGATCAGATCTTTGTTTGGAAAATTCTAAAATATATTATCAGTTTAACATTTAAATTCTAACTTGCATCAAGCTACCTAGGTCAACATATCAAAAAACTCAATACACTCATTGTTATTGTAGTCTGTACCTAATTCTTTTTTAATTTTACTTAAAACTAAGATATCACTGAAAATTCAAGGATGATGCTAAGTAATGCAATTATTCGTCCATTTCATATTCAAATAATATTTAAATGATTCTTTATTTAAGGAACATCTTTGATGATAGTATTTAGCAATTAACTAATTAATTATTTTATTTATTCCAAAGAAATCATTTTCTAACATGATGACATTGAGAGAAGTTCGAGGTGTCGTTTGTTCATTCCTACATCAAATGTTTATTGCTGATCCTCCACTTGCAAAATTAGTTCACTTTCAGGTACTTTTAAATTTTTATTGTATAACACAGTACTAAATATTTTTACTACAAACTATTGTTTTATTTTAATGTTTATTTTTCTATTTTCAGGGATATCCTAGGGAATTACTTCCAGTTACCTGTCTAGGAATTCCATCCATGCACATTTGTCTAGATTTTATTGCGGAACTTCTGAGCCAACCAGATTTTCAGAAACAGATATTTGCCATTGATCTTATTTCTAATATTTCCCAACAGTATCCATTGCCAAAATCGTTAAGCTTGGCACGTTTAGCCATTAACACTATGTACACTTTTCTGTCTGGTAATATCAAAAACATATTATATTATTACATTTTTGAATAATTAATAATAATCACTGTTTTATTACAGTATTGACTCAAGAAGATCGCCGTGAACTCTATATGCCTACGCTACCAGCATTAGTCAGAATATGTCAGGTATTTCCCACCCTTAGTGAAGACTGTATAACATTTTTAAATCAATTAGGTCGCATGTGCGTATCAGTTACATCCGTGCGTTCGGATATATTTTTACTGCCTGCTGCAGCCCAAAGGAGTGAAGAAATGGAAGGACCAAAACTTAGAATGCGACGAGTTCCTAAACCAGATATCTTTGACGAACGCACAGATATTGCTGTAGCTAATAAATTATTTGCTCAACAAGTTGAACTTACCGTTAAAGAAATACTACAGAATTGTTTGGAAAACAATGCAAGTGCCTGACTATTTTTACAGATGTCTTCATAACAATATTAAATAATAATTAATAAAATATATATAGTTCAAATGTAATTGATGTAATAAAAAAAAATGTTATATATAATAAAAATCACCAGATATTATTACAGCAGTATGTATGTATAATTTTAAATTACCTATTGGTTTTATTAAGTTATTTAAACATTAAAAAATATTTGTGCCTGCAAACACTAACACTAGTAGAATATTTTTGTAAATTAAAATGGGTATTTAAGTTTTTGAATGGGTATTGGGTAATTTTACTCCAAGATTACTCAAAAACATTAAAATAATAATTTTACTTAATGTGTTTATCTGTTATGTGTGAATCAGAGTATCAGAGTAAAAGTAGATTGAGTACAGATATTCTCTTAAGCTATTTATACCATAAACCTATTCACACAGTCATACCGTATGTAAGTATTGACTTATTAAGTCCATAACAGATATACTCTCTCAGGATAAGAATGCTTATAATTCAACTGAGGGGCTGTGTCTTAGGTAAAGTTAGTAAATACTAAACATAATAATATAACTTATACTAGCTAGTATTTGTTCATCCTTTCCTATTAGAAAAATAGAAAATTTCCAACCTATATAAATATATAGTAAAATAATCTTAGAAGTTATGCTTACTGACCACCCTATGTAGCAAAACAACTTCCTCAGTATTTTAATATTTAGTTAACTACTTGTTTTATAAGAGGTAGCCGAGCCCATCACGTACCAAACACTGTATGGAGAACACACAACATGTCCTCATATGCAGGAGTTAGCAACCTTTTTTAAGACGAAAACCAAGATAAATAACCAAAAAAATGTAACATTGTCCCAGGCCAAAATTTGAATACACATTTCATTTTAAACAAAAATGTTCATTCAAATCAAATTTATCATAACTATTAGGTTAAAAAATTCAACAAGGTATCTACAAACAGAGTTTTAGTTCGCAGTTTCTAGTCCATACTATCTTAATTCGTGTTTTTTATACAAATTATAAATTGTACTTTAATATAACATGATTTATAAAACTAAAAACCATTGGTGTAAAAAGAGTAATTTTTTACTATTTATTGATTGATTATTATTATTTACATCTTTTTACATAAACATTATTTTCATTATAATATTGTGTTATTTTATGCCTCAGTTTTATTTTGATCGTCATCATCATCACTAGTAGATTCATTTTCACTAACACTATTGGTAGAATTACTTTTCTTGGACATCTTACATTTTTCCCTTAAAACCTTTTTTCTCTTTAATCTCTTTGCTCTTTTCTTAGCTGTACGCCCTTCAGCCATTTGTTTGTTTTCTAATATTTTTTGACGATAGGCTTCTTCCAAAAGTTCCTATTGTAAAAAAAATAAACAAATATAAATATCTACATCTAATACAAACTTATTTTCATAAAATAACTCACCTTTTCTGCTTTTACTTGTATGTGTTTTTGTCTAGCATATTCTTTGCGTCTTAAGTGTCGATAAACATGAAACTCACCACTGCCAGCTCCAGCACTTGATCCCATAACATTCCTTACAAATTCGGGAACGTGAGGAGATTTTTTGTCCGATCGTGGCTCAGGTATATAAACAGGTTTATCCTACGCATACAGTAATCAGATTAGTTACATCGTTCTGCAAATAAATATAATAACAGTTACCTATAGGCATATCTTTTTTTGTAACATTGTCATTTATCAATATTTAGTATTTACTAATATTTATTGACACAAATAGGGGAATCTTTAAAAATTTAATAAAATACCTCTTTAATGTTATCCAACTTATTACAATTATTAACAGCAAAACAAACATATTGGCCAATTTAACAAGTAGAAAACTCTTAAACTTTATACCATACTATAGGTGTCCGAAAAATATCATGTATGCACAAGCTGTACATACCTAAGTTGATTAGCCTGCAAAGCGCAAATTAAATGTGATTCAAAGTTACACTTTAACAGAAATACACCGTGCTATTATATCCAGTCTGCTGTTGGGTAATTATTGTTCAGGCAGGTCTGATTTTCACAGAAAGTAAAGTATATCCAAGTAGTGTTTATCATAACTGAATTTCACTAAATTGAGTTCTCTAAACAGATTTCTCGCAAAATGCCTACCCGGTGTTAAGGAGTTGAGTTATACATCGAGTACTAGGGCTAAGTTGTTTAGTACAACAATAAAATCATTTGGGTTGTACTTACAGGATTTTTCATAAGTCTTTCGAGTTTCAAACGTTGTAAATCCGTAGCATTTTTTACTACTTTTTTTACTTCAGTCGTCTTGGAACTGTCTTTTTCAACTGGTTCAGTCATTTTTACTTACAATAATAAGAAATAATTGACTTGATTCAGATTTTTCCACCATAAACGCTTAAGGTAAAAACTATTTACCTTTATATTCAAATAATGTCTATTACAGTGATAAATTGTATATTAGAGTTAATTTTATTTTAATATTTTTGAAATAAATTAAATTATCATAATATAATTTTATCTTAGCTCATGATTGCGAGTTGCTAGTTGCAATTTAAACTATAAAGGATCTTTAAAATTATATAAAATACAAATAAGTGAATAATAATAATTAACAGAAATAGTTACAAAAACACAGATACTATCATCACAGAACATTGAATCATACAGAATTGATTTACTTTGTAGTTTGTATCAGGGAATACAACAATTCGTTTTATTATTTCTAATATTCGTATACGATATTCAATATGGTTTGTAGTTTGTATACTAAATAGCACGATTAAAGATAGTAGTGATAGTACTAACAATGTTGTTTTATATATCATTCAGTGATCATGATAAATTATTTTTTATCATGGTATACGAAATTTCTCCTATTCTGTGGTCAAGGTTCATAGATAATAGAGGTTGCCTCACAGTCGCGTAAACAAAACGAACCCCCCGCATTCATTCCCTGCCATATGACGTCATTGCCATACACCACGAATTCAATTACTGCAGTACACGACACTTGTTTATTTTAATTTTTCATTGATCTTTCAATTTTCGTACCCACTAAAATGCTTAATTACTGTACTTGTGGGTGGGGCTAGGTACGTAATGCTCTAAGTGTAAAATAAAGCTATGTATCTATAACAAATAACAATCTCTATTGAACTTGATTTACAAATACCTTTTCTATACTCAATATTTTTCATTATATTTATGTAAATGATTCCTAAAATTATAATATTTTTATTAAATAAATTGGAGGAGGTAATATTGTAATAATAAAATAAAAACACAGCCCATAAATACAGAATATACAAATTTTTTTTAATTATTTTCATTTAAAAACACAATACAATAAACAAATTATAAAGTTATATAAATTTTCAAGTCATAAGTTTTCTCAGCTTTTGAAGTTTTTGAAATTGTAATTTTGCTTTTCTTTTTGAAACTAGAATTTGATGATTTTTATTTGCATATTTCATACGAATAAAGATCCTTTGCCTTACAAATGTATGTATAACTGGTCTATACTTTTCTTCGATATCCATTCTATTCATTATTTTATGTAAAAGTTGTTTTACTATACCTGGTCCTTTGGGGATTTTTTGCTTGGTAATTTTTCTAAAAATTCTTTCAGCTCTAAAAATATGTTTTTTAAAGTTATTGCTTGGGACTATCAGGCCACCATATGATAAACAATCAATCCACGAAGGAAGTATATAGTCATGATCATCTATTGATTTAATCTTTGATTCTGTTGTAGTACAACCAAGTTCAGGAAATTTTTGCCTATATTTTTTAGCTATCCATCCAGCTAAATACTCAACAGCGTCTTCTGTCATTTCATTAATATTTGATTTTTCACTGTTATCACTGTTTGTGTCAGAATCTAAGTCATCNTCTCTTGCTTTTTTTTCAATAATACGAGTTTTATTCTCAGTTAGACATTTTATTTGCTTATTTGTAGTATTTTGCAATTTTATAAGAGATACATTTGTAGTTTTCAAATTTTTTTGAATAATTTTTATAGTATGTCTCAGAGATTCATTGATCTTCCTATATTCAAAATCAGATTGTTTTAATGAAATTAATTCATTCTTGATGCTTTCATTCTCTTTTTTTAAAATTTCATGTTGCTTACACAAATCTTTGTACAATATTTCATGATTTTCTTTAGGTGGTATTAATTTTAATACAGTTGGTTCCATTAACTGTTGTTCAATTAACTCGTTATGACACTGTAAAAAAGAAAAAAAAGGAATGCATTAATAAAATTGTAATTATACTTTAGAGTAAAATAAGTAGTTTATTCTTCATATTAAAAAATTTCATTTTTAGTAGGTACCGCCTATTTTGTTATAATCTAATCTACTGAACAGTAATAATTGAAAAAAAAATATTTGAAATATGTATAATATGTGTATAATTATGCCAAGATTTGAATTGAGTTAATTTATTTTAAGATGTAATTGAATATATTTTTATGAATTTGAGTTATTATTCATATCATAAATAAAGCTGCTCCAGGCTAATTAAATTAATAATTAGTTAAGTTATAACTAACAAACACTTAACAGATATACCTAATACAGTTTAAACATAATTTCATAATTCAGTTAACATACCTCTTTATACTTTTTAGCCTCCATTCTACTTCTGCGTCCTAAAGTTGTTGATGTTTCAGTTAATAGACAGTTGGGTAAGTTTACTGTAGGCAATACATTTAATTTCAGTCTCCTGACAGGTTTTTTTCCCAAGAGTTCAGCTTTCAAATCACGTTCAAAGTCATCGGTATTGAAATGTTCTGAACACACATATGACGTATTAGGATTCCAATTATCTGCACGCTTGCATTTTTGAACCCACAATTTTTGAAGAACGGTGTCCTTTGGAAACCTTTAAACGGGGGTAAAATCAACATATAAAATTAGTAAATTTAATTGAAAGTATAATATAATATAATAATATAATTAATAGGTACCTGTGAAATGATACATCAGTCCTTCCATCTTTCTTTATTTTGCCAGAATAAGAAATACATGTTGCAACAGCAAAACTTGAGCCTCCTCTCGTACTCATAATTCCACAAGTGAATATAATATTACAGAAAAAATTTTAGAATATCGGTTAAAATTCAAAAAACATGAGAACAGTACGGCAGTTTATTACGTATTTACGTATACGGTATTACGATGTACGACGGCGTGTACGGCAGTGACGTATTACCCCCACTGCTCATATTTCATAAATTCGACTGTGAGGCAACCTCTATTATCTATAAACCTTGTTCTGTGGTATACTTTTAATATCAGACTCTATACGACCACGATCACGGTTTAAGATATACTTAAACTGTGACCACAATCTATATATTTTTGAACGTCTTTGGTACTATGTCAACGTTATCAAACATAAACAAAAAATTTTTAAAATAATCATTATTTCATATTTGCTGGTGAAATGAAATCACAAATTAATAAGAATGTGAAAAACTGAAATGGTAAATTCTGGACTAGTATTGCTGTGATTGTTGCAGAGTGTTTACAGTTAAAATTATATTAAAATCATCTCGCCACTCGTAAGTATTTTTCTCAAGTTTAATTTTTCACTAAAATAAAGGTATGTTAATGAATCGTGTGAATAATATTATGTTTCTATGAGTTTATAAATTGTAAATTGTATGTATGTCCCTTGCCATTTGGAAAATTCGTCAATTTTTCATAAAACATTTAGCCTCTTTGAGACAAAGCTCTAACTGCTTTTTTCTAATACCATTTGCCGATTTTATTGTTTTAACACTTGGCAGTGTCCAACTTTAAATAAGTATTTTGAAAACAATCATGTAACTTCCAACTTCATTATTTTTTAATATTAAGGTATATTTTTATTTATTCGAACAGTAAAAAAATGTTCTTTATAGTTTAACTGTTTTAAGTGCAACAACTAAACAAGTTGGTAACTTTAATAAGTAGTTTAAAGTAATATAATTTATAATTATTTAAGTATTTTATAAAAAGCCTATTAGTAATTTGTCTTTCCAGTAAGCTCTTCGATATACTAACTAAATAGACTATAGAGAAATGAAAACAATTATTCCCCTGAGCTAATGACATTAATCATATTCACTTAATCTTGGATATTAATGAAATGAAAATTGTTATTGTATTTTTTACCAGTTAAATTCTATTAATAATATGCATATAGTCCAACTATGGACTAACAGAAAATTGTGATCTTGGTTTTTATAACCAAATTTATATTTTACTGTCAGTTTAAAATTTATGCGTGGGAAACATATTTTATACCTAACTAAACAGAACATTGAATATTAATACATTGTACATAATACATTTTTTGTTTCAGTTACACAAGTAATTTTTCATAATTTCCTGATTTTGATAACATTTTTATAATTATAATAATTATTAAAATTGCATTATTAAATAATTTAAATTCATGTTTTCATTATTCTGAATGTAATATTAATTAATAAATAAATAACGTTTATTTATGCTTATATCTTTTGATAATTTTGCTTTCCTTGTATAGAGAGATAAGTGTGAAAAAAAAAAAATTATATTAAGATCTAAAAAATGAAGTATTATGCTATTTATGATTTATTAAATATATACTAAAAGAGAAAGCCGTATCTGAGGAAAAGGGTTGCACATGACAGAACTTGGTATTGGTTTCAAAACCAGTATAAGCCGTTAATAAACCTAAACCAAAAACAAAAAAATCAATGAAACTGGAGAAAATTGGAGATCGTTATGATAATTTAATTTTTTTTAATTTTAAACTGTTGAAATATTTTTGTTCTAGGTTCCTCAAAGATTGTAATTTGTAGAATTAAATTATAAAATCACTCCTAGTAAAACAATTCTCATATTCGTATAAAAAATTCAAAAATCTAATATTCAAATCAAGTATTTAAGTCTTGTAAAATTGTTTAATTATAATTTAAAGTCTTCGCTTTTAAATGCAATTAAAAAAAATTTAAAACGTATAAAAATTGAAACTGAAATTATTTCAATCAGTTTGAAGCCCTAGCACAGGGGCAAAATGTCTGCAACATTTATTAAAGTTATAATAAATCTAATTTTTGTCAAATATTTAACCAAATGTCATAACTATGTTCAGTAAATTACAGTATGCATCTACATATTTATTATCCCCTGTGCTTGAAAAAAATCCAGATATGGCCTTGATAAAAAGTTATTATTCAAAAAAAATATAGATTGTGCAGGTTTGTAACCCAATTCCAGCTTTAAAATAATATATCATATTTTATTCATTATAGACAAGGGTTAACTAGTGAAATAAACATGGTAAAAAAAAGGAAAAGTGTACTAAAATCTTCGACACAGGTTGTTGATTCACCAATGAAAGAACCAAGAATTATAAGTAATTATAAAAATTAAAATTGAGTTATTAAATTATATTAAATTATAACCTATCAATAATTTAGGAGGTAATCATTTAGAAAAGGCTCGCAACAGTTTAAATGAAGCTCTTGATGTTATTACAAAGAAGGAGCAAAAAAAAGCCGATGATGTGACTGATAACGATGTATTAATTGTGTGAGTATACATTTTTTTGGTTTGAACATTTAATGGCTACACAAATTTATGTTTTCCTGCAACTGGACTAGCCATCTGATGTTATTCTTATATGAGATAGGGGTATAAAATAACAATTTCCTTCCATTTTTAGAGAAGAAAATGATACAAATAAGCGAATAAAGTTAAGTGAATCCAAGCAAGAAGTTAAAGATTCATTGGTATTAAAATTACGAGATCGTAGCATAGATTTAGCTTCTTTTACCAATAATTCAGCAATGTACTCTATATGCCGAGCTTGGATAAAAAATGACCCATTATCAGCAAGGTGAAAACAAATGTGCTCAATTTTCAAAGTTATATTATTAAAAACATTATTTTTAAACTTTAGACAAGTAAAAAGTAAAAAATCTGAAAATCTGGAACGTTCGCTTAAAGTTGATAGTGAATCATCCACAATCGAAGATTATGTCTATAAGTTACCACCTCCTAAAAGTAGATCTGAAGATGAAACTGATGTAATTCGCAGAATACCTATAAATTTACCAAAGGACGTAGTAACCAAAATGGATATTAAAAATGTAAGTAATCTATTGTAATTTGTATTTTCTTTTGTTTTTGTTATTATATATTATTTATTGATATTGACTTATGATATTAACCATAAACATTTTATAGCAAAACTTGTGCCTCATAATGTGTATTTTTTAAATCTTTTAAATTACCAAAATCAATGATATATACTTATATGTTCCTTAAAACTTTGTAAAGTTTGTATTTATCTAAACATACTAATTTTTAAATTAAATTATTTTACTTTTTAGAATATTAAAGAAGTTCCTACTGTCAGCGAATTACTTAATGAGCACAGAAAAAGATGGGTTTGTATACGACAGCAATGGATTAAATTCAGTAATGAAAATGAATCCCGCTACGCTATGTCAAAAAGCATTTTGAATTCAATGTTAAACAAGTAATTTGAATACTTTATTATTTGTTTTTAATCATTAATATGTTTGTGGTTTGATACAATAATGCTTTTACCTATCACATTTTGACAAATTTGAGATTATTTGACCAATGTCATCAGTGGGTGGCACTAGTCTAAATCTTGGGAGTGCTACAATTATAAATCGCAAAGCTATATTTGTAATTTAAGATAATAAAACAATAATAATGTAATATAATCAGAATGCAAGATAAGTAAAAAAATAAGGTACTTGTCCAATATGTTATATACCGTAATTTATTAAGTTAGGTAGGTTAGTACCTTTATATTATACCTGTTTAGTGTGTGTTTGTGAGTCGTATCATATTACGTATTATGTATTATGAGTTTGCCAACTTTGAGTTATTTACATCGACACATAATTTAAAATAAAGAGATGTGCAAACATTTTTTAAACATACGAGGTTTATTTCTAATTGACCAAATATGTACAAATATTAAAAGCCAAACAATTTGTGGTGGTGAGTTAAGTTCTGAAAAATAGTCGTAAACGTGATTCGGATGGTAATATTTTGAAAACAATTTATAATCAATGTACAAAAAAAGGGTTCTAAACATTTTACTCCATACGCAAAAACAATAACCTTTTTATGTAAATATATGAAAATGGGAGGTGAAACAACTAACATTGGTTTAAATTTGTACGATATCATAGAACTTGTTTGGTATTGGGTATTTCAAATAAAGGTAACACTAGTCGAAGTATTTACGAAGAGATCAAAATCAAATATAGTCGACGGTAGATAAAATATTTTCGGTAGATACCATACAAAACCATCAAACGTGTAGTAGATAGCATATTGGACGAGTATCAAAAATAAAATTGTATTATTAAAACTATATGTTTGAAATTACAATGCCATTGAACATGGAGGTGCTTAAATTGTATTGATGTTTGCTTAGCCCCCCTCCTAGTACCCCCGTAGTTGCGCCTCTAAATGTCATTCATATTAGATTAATATGTTACTTGTGTTGAAACGGCCAATGTCTGATTCAACTCAGAGAACACTACACCCACATGTGTTATCTATTTTACAAACCAATACCAATATACCATAATAAATTTTACATTCTGAATAATCCATTTAACTCTGTTATGTTTAATATTAAAGGGAATAGACTTATTATTAAATTTAGGAATAAGAATGTGATCTAGTAAATATCATGAGTTTTTCTATATTTTAATTTTAAAGTTATCACAACTCACTTTAAAATGAAAATATAAATAAAAACCTATAAAATTCACTAAATAATATCCTTAATTCTAAATTTGGTAATTCAGGGATCCAACTAGTATACTCACCCTCTTTTTTCTTTAAAAATGAAGTTTTTCAAAATCTGATTTTTGGAATCTTAAAATATTCTCAAACACCATATTTCCGTATTCTTGAGATTTTGTGTACCACTTAAGGAGTGTCCTGTGGCAATACAAACTTTTTTTTTCAAATGGGAACCCCACTTTTTTACTGTAAATTATTTAGCGGATAATTTTTTTGAGAATTTTGATGTATTGAAATCAAAATTCGAAAAGGTAGTTATCTAATTATTACACATTTTGTACTAAGGATAATATAGCTTATAATATGGAAGAAAGATATGCTTATACAGTATACATTGTTATCTTTAGTCTATACTCATAATATAAAATAATACGTCATTTTATATTTATTTAGTCAAATACTTAGGTAAATAGCAAGTAAAATCTTTCTTGATTTATTTAGTTATTTTTCTTATTCCATGTGCAGAACTGTAAAAGCATATCCCTATCATGGACTTAAATATTATTGGGTATTTTATTACTAACCATTTTTAATATTTATGAAGAATTAAATTTTGAATACATTGTTTAAAATCAATGCATTGTATTTCTATTTTTGTATTCAATTTTAACTGTTGATATTTATGTTACAGAGATAATAATGTTTAGTACCGTCAATATACCAGTCTACAAGAATATAATATTTTTATCAATTTTTATTTTTAGTTAAGAATTATGTTTATATTGTATTATGTATTATAATTATTATACAACAGAATTAATTTTAATGTATTGAAGAGTGTATTGGAAATTTATCTATGTTTATTTTCTTCATAAATTTAAATTTAAAGTATTGTCAAGTAACAATATTATTCTAGTATGATTCTTAACACTTTTAACATTGTGACATATTGAGAAATTATTATTTATCATTTTATCAACCACAATGTTATAGATATTTTAATTCAAACATAAACTACGAAAGTAATAAAATAGATAATTAAAAACCTCAATTAGTACACCTTTATTATTCCTTAGTAAATGGTTCGTGTTTTATAATATAAAGTCATGGGTGTAACTAAGATTTAATAGTTACAAGAGTCTAGAGTTCTCAAAAACCAAAATTCAAAATAAGTTATTGGAGGAAAGAAGAAATCTCTCCATATCCACCATTAAAAGTGTGTATAGAGTTTAGTAGTCGCAGGGTGTTCTATGAAATCAAAATTTTAAATAAACCATTGAGTCAAGATGTCTAATATCTGTATTTACATTCAAATATTCCTAAAATTTCATTATCGATCATCTTATTAGAAGAATCTTTTTCAATGTTTATTATGGCCAGATCACAAAAAAAATCTATAAATCTGTTTTGGATCATTGTTGAACTGATATAAATTTTTATTCTCCTCATACAATAAAAATATCACTTTGCATGTAGTTGATATTTTAGGTATAGTGGCTAGACTATTAGTAATATTTCACACATATTTAAATAGATTTCCTATTGTATATCTGGTTTAATAAGTTGAAATTGCTTTTTGACTTTCAAAATATTAATATATCATAGACATAAATATATTGACTATTACCGACTTATTAGTTACTTTACAATTTTACATATTAAACCCATTTTTTTTTATGCGAATACTTGAAATGTAGCCAAGAGGTATAAAGGGGAATAATACCTATAAGGAGGCTCAATCCCCCTTTCCTAGTTAAAGGTACTGATGTATAAGATGTTTATATAATATACAAATATACAATTCATTATAAGTAATAGTATATCTATTAAACAGCAAATAAAGAAATGTATAGCCCTGATGTTTTGTATTAGGTAAAAAATAATATGAAGACAGATTTTTAATATTAATTAGTTCAAAACTTAAATTGTCGAAAGAATTCATCGAAGAATGCTCATTTCATTTGGAGGGGCTCATTAAGTGTTGTGAATACTATACAATGCAGGAAGTACAAAAATTTAACATTAAAATGGATGATGATTTTGATTTATGCCTTATAGTTGTGACCAGAACAACATAAATTATTATAATAAGTATTTGGAAAGTGTTGACTACCAATTGGGTATCTAATGTCTATTTATATGTGGTTACGAGTTTATGACCTTGACGGGACGGTAACGACCATTAGGCGAAACGATACAATTTCTCAGTGCCTAGGGCTAAAAAAGTTTAAAATAAACCTGTAACAGAATTTTACAGAGAGAAGAAATATTTGAGATATTATAATAATAGCATTTAGATCAACAAAATACAAATTAATGTATCTCTAGATCGATTAAAAATTTAAATACAAAAGTTAAATCGAATATTTTTAAAATAACACACCCATATCAACCGGTTGATAACATTTTAGATTTGATAAAAAATCTTATAAGTTTTCCTAATATTAATATAGAATATACATTACCCCCAGAAAAAAAGATTAATTACCTCAGGCCTCTGTATGTATATTATTATTTTATCGGTTTTATTGTCTCTGTGTGAATCACTATAGTTACAACACCACTTATAATACTGAAATATTATATTTACATTTGGTCATTTCATTGGGTTCGTGTTTCATTTTGTTACATAACTTGAATAATATACCTTTAGTCACAAGTTTAAATTTTCAGTTTTCGGTTTCCATAAATCATCTTCCTAAACTTAGGAGCCTAAAGTGACGTCGTATCCGCGGTTGATAATCTACTATTATATTGGACATCATGTTTAGAAAATTTGTATCTACAGTTTCAACAGTAAGAAAAAGTTTTTAATTTTAAAATCTACCTACTTTCTAAGCACCATTGTTGTGTTACCTAATACGATAATTATTGTAGTTCAAAGGAAGTTTTGGATACTGCTTGAAGTCAATTATTTTCTCTGATACGTAATAATATGATGATATTATGTCGCTGTGTACTATTCGATCTAAGTCATTTGGCAATCCAAAAAGATTTCATTCGTTTTTTAATTATGAGTTTCAGTATTTTGGGTTTAATGTAAATCATCAATAGGTCATCTGAATCCCAATAAAAACCATACATTTTGAAATTGTTTAGAAAGTTTCATATTTTAAATTTGAGATATTTAGGATCAAGGCAGTGTATGTTACTTTTCTAGAGTTACCAGCTTCTTACTTTAGTTGAACATTCATAAGCGTGTTTAGAAATTAGAATAATTCTCAAATGTGGCTGGTAATTATTTTATGAGAAGTTCATTTTCTGAAATTAGGTTATAGGTAGTTAAATAAAATTTGCAGATCTGACCATTGCCTAAATGGCATGACACATCTATGCTAACAGTTTTTAGTTAGATTTTCTTTTTAGACTGAATGCAGTCAGATTAAAAAAAAATGTTAGATATCATTTGTAGTATTAGAAGTCAGATAGACATTAACCTGTTGATTTGTTCCAATTATTTTTTTATTTTAGATTCGCCTCGCACAGCAAAACGTCCAGAACATTCCAAAGCTTAAACAAATTGCAATTACTAATTCAGTTACACGATCATTTTGTAAGTATGAGTGAAGTACAATGTAATCTAATTTTTTTCAGTCTCACTGATATAAATATTTTCTATTTTAGCTTTTGTTACTTATATTAAAAAATATTGCTCAACAGTTACATAGTTGCAGTACTTTTAGCTTATGATGTGGTGAAATTGTAAATAAATTAGGTTAATAAAAGATAATTTTGAGAGATAGGCTGTTGATAACCTAAAAAAGTAATAAAAATACCCTAAAAAAATGCTTTATGTCCTTAAATATATATAAAAAAAATGTTTAGGTGTCACAGTTATTTAAAATGTGAATTGAAAAATTAACACATTAACATTTTCATTTTAGTTTATAGTTAAGTGTCAACAATAGGTAAAATATGTTTTAACAGCAGCTTTTCGAATACCTTAGAAAGTATTACAATAAGACTGATTGGTCTATACAAAGTTGGAGAGTCTGGAGGTTTTTTAGGTTTTAATATAAGAATTATGGTAGAGTATTTCCAGAGAATAGGGAAATAGGATAGTCTGAGCATTGCATTGTAGATTTGTGTTAGAAATATGATAGATTTCTTAGGTTATGTTATTAAATAGTAATAGACCAAATAATGTAAAGGTTGATTCGTTGATGTGCATATGGATTAATTTTCTTATAAAATATGAATCAGTATTTCCAAGATTGGTATTATGGTATTTATTTATTAGTGGCTTGATTTTAATAATTATATCTTGAGAGTTGACTTTAATTTAAAAAGTTTTTATTATTATTATTTAAGTTTATACATAAACATTTTATCTAATTAATTATTTGAATGAATTATATTTGTTGTTTCTTAGCTACATCTCCGGTATCTAATGTTAAGGTACAAGAACCAGCACCTCAATTTGAAGGTAAAGCAATTATTGATGGACAGATAAAAGATATCAAATTATCAGATTTTGCAGGAAAATACTTGGTTTTATTTTTCTACCCCTTGGATTTGTAAGCTACATTTATTATAATGAATCAAGAATAAAGTAATTATTTTAAGCATTTTATTCTAGTACATTCGTTTGTCCAACTGAATTAGTGTCATTTAGTGATCACATTGATGAATTTAAAAAAATTGGTGTAAATATAGTTGGATGTTCGTGTGACTCACATTTTTCGCATTTAGCATTTGTAAACACCCCTCGAAAGGTTAGTTTGTGTTATAATAAAATTATTTTATTCATATTTACCTATTCATTTGTTTAATGAATAATTATAGCATGGCGGTTTGGGTGGTCTGTGTTATCCACTATTGTCAGATTATAAAAAGGAAATTGCCAAAGCCTATGATGTTCTTATTGAACCTGATGGCATACCACTCCGTGGCCTTTTTATTATTGACCCTAAAGTAAATATTAAATATTTTTATTCCATATGAAATATGTTTCAATTTGACCATGTAATTTCAGGGAATAATAAGACAAATTACTATTAATGATCTGCCAGTAGGACGTAGTGTAGATGAAGTTTTAAGGCTTGTTCAAGCTTTTCAATTTGTCGACAAACACGGAGAAGGTAAAAAGCAGTTTTAAATTATAATTTATCATTATTATTATTAATATTATTTAAATATGATTTTGTGATTTAGTTTGTCCAATGAACTGGAAACCAAATGGTCCAACTATTAAACCAGATCCAAAACTTTCAAAAGAATATTTTAGTAATGTCAACAAGTAAATTATAGTTCAATACAGAAGTATTCAAAAATAATTTAAAGTATTTAAAAATTAACAGGAATATTATTTTAAAATAAAACATCATGGATTTCGCTTAGTTTGTTTGTACTTTAAGCCTGGGGTTGCATGAACAACCTGCAATCACTCAACCATAGGTGCAAATCACATAAAAATATCAGGGGGGCTTAAGTACCAAAAATTTTTTGGAGGAAACAGACCCTCACACACCCCAACAGTACCACACCATATATAATATTAACAAAATACAAATCAGTAATCACACAAATACATCTAAACATTTTATGCTGCAAAACAAATTTATTTTATTTATTACAAATGTAATAATAATGTACGCTTATTTTCAGCATACTTATTTAAAATAATCTCATTATCAATGACTATATCCCTTTCAATATGAATAACTGATAAGTCCGATAGTCTTTCCTGACCCATTGTAGTACGTGTCCAAGATTTTATTCTTCGCATAACTGAAAAGCTCCTTTCACACGAAGCAGATGAAATCAGTAAAACTAAGGCAACTTGAAGTAACTTAGATTTGGATAAACAGTTTCACTGATTACCTGTTTTAACTCTTTTAACCCAAATTTGTCACTAAGTTGAATCGCACAGTTTCTAGCAACTGTAATTTCCGACTTTAAACACTCCTTGTTTATTGAAAACAAATCCTTTAACATAGAACCATTTTATTATATAAATGTACTTAATACATATGTTGTAAATGTTCAATATGTTTAAAAATTATTTCCCGGTTATTATGATATTATATTATAATATATTTATATTTTATTTGTCATAGCAGTTTAATATATCCAGATGTAAACGTAAACTTGATATATTATATTATTAATTTATTAATACAAATAATTAAATAAATCTGTTTTTGAATTTTTAATAAATTTAATTAGGTAGGTATTATGGAAATATTATATTATTATTATATATAATAATATATATTATATATAAGGTAGTAGTACTATAAGTTATAATCACGGGATTCGGGGTGCTAGCATTAAAATTCAGGGTGCTAAGCACCCTTAGCACCCCTGCGATTTGCGCCTATGCACTCAACACATTATTTAATTAAATCAATAGTAGGATAACATAATTTAGTGGTCCGTTAAACTGTAGTACAATCCGGTTGAAGATTATTATAATTGTGTACCATTTAAATTTAATACTTAAAATGTAACTGGTCATTTTTATTTGTTATATAAATAGTGATTTTGCAACTATGACAAAATGTGTATTTTATTTATTTATGGCTGATACCCAGTCACTAGTCAGTATTCTGTCAAATTTGTTTAAATTTTAAAAGGTAGAAAAAATTAACAAGATGAGCACTATTTTAGCAGATACGTGTATTAAATTAAGTATAAACTTTGCAGTAACTACTTGCTTTTTACTGTAGAGCAGTGGTTCTTAATCTTATTGTTTCATATCACTCTTAGGCACTAGAATCCTACACTTTGTCACTATATTATAAATATATAAAACAATCTAAATTGTTCATTTTATTTAAAAAAAAATACAGTATGCAGTAAAATAATCATCATACATTTTATTTGAATTTAGAGTTCAATGAACACTTTAAAATGACAAATTAAAAAAAGCGGGTAAGTGGATGTCGTTCTGCTGTACAGAAAGTTTTCTAGGTGTCTAGATGATCGTTGTAATGGATGGATAATATATCATTGCATATGAAAAATGATTCTAAGCGGAGACGGTATGTCAGTCAAGAATATTTCATATTGTTATTACTTATTATTAGAAGGTAGCCAAATGTTATACTTTGTGTTAATATGTAATGTTGTCCAAATTTGATTTTTTTTAGTTACAGAAAAAACTGCCTGAGTGGAACCTTGTTTTAAATATTCAATTCTTAGCTATAGGAGTTGATTCAATACATTTGTGAGAAATGTTGACTTCCTTAATGCACCAACTAAATTCACTTTCCGACTAGAAAAGTTATTGTAGAAAAAAATCGAAGCACTTTTAGTGCAAGAAACCGTGATGACACACACAAAAAAAAAAAATAAATAAATATAAAAAAACACATCATTGTAAAATCAATACATTCATAGCTTCGCTCAGAATCTAAAATTAACAATTCTCTTTTTTTTCCTTTTCTCGTGGATATTTAATGTCACCCTTCGACGATGTTTCACCCCGGTTGAGAACCACTGCTGTAGAAACTAGAAATAATTTACTGTGATCGTGATGGAGTGTTTTCGTGTTGTAATACTCCTCGACCGTATTTATGCAAAAAATAATATATATACTAAGTGCCTTAAATATGTTGTCGTATTGTTTTATTTTATATATTATTGCTATAAGATTGATGAATTATGAATACAATGGAGTGTGTGAACCCCAAACTCCCTCCCCCCAGTTTATATTTAAAATTAAACTCCCCCCCTAAAAAAAGTCTTGATGGTACCGGTAGGTGCCTTCAGTGGCGGCTCGTGAGGTTCACCTTAGGTAGTGCACAAGAAATCTATAAAATACCTATGTAAGATGGTAAAAATATTAATTTTTTTAGAGGTACTACCAAAATACTGTACTTACTTATCTAAATTAATTTTAAATAATGTACGGTGTTATCGTTTCGACTAACGACGCTACATCGTGATTTGATATAAATAGATTTAGTGCACGACACATTAGATGTGCTCTAACTGCCATAATATATTACTATTTACTAATTGACGCGTCGAGACATGTAGCTAATATTTAAACGGCCGCCCGGAACGCCAACAATTTGTACAAAACTACAAACCTAGCGCGAATTATTTGGTATATAAAGAGTAAAGACACACTTCTCAAATTGAAAACTGAAACAACCTTTTTTTTTACAGATCGTGTGCATAATAATCAATTATATATTATATATTATATTATAGTATATAATATATTATCATAGGAATCTAATTATTATTTATTTTTTTGGGTGGTTCACTTGCTCTTGTGCACCATACCACGAGCCACCACTGGGCGCCCTGCACAGGCCGCCGGAGACCGGTCGGCCCTTGTGTTTGTTGGTTTCGGTCGCCTGAACAGTTATATCTGTGCAGGCCGCCCGAGAAAATATGAAAACTCGTTCGTTCATCCGGCCGACTGCGGGACTGCACAGGCGTATCGAAACGTGTATGGGTTCTGGCCGTCCGGCCAAATTGCCAGACGGTTTAATTTTATTTCACAGTCCACGTGTTTATACTACACTGCATATTGCACTGCTCTGCACTTTTGTGAAATTTTGTCATTAAAAAAATGTCTCGAGAGAAAGAATCTCAGTGTATTGAAGATTTTATTAATATTTATCGAAGCGAACATTGTTTGTGGAAAATAAAATCTAGAGAATACCATGATAAACGCAAAAGTGACGCTGCCTACAAACTTTTAGTTGAAAAGCTAAAAGCAATTGACTCTTCTGCGACGAAGTCAGTGGTAGTAAAAAAAATAAATAACTTGAGAAGCAGCAACCGGAAAGAGTTAAAAAAAAGTAAAGGAATCAACTAGGACAGGATCAGGAGCAGACGATGTCTACCAGCCGAAATTATGGTACTTCAATATGTTAAGTTTTCTTGACGACCAAGTCACACCACGTAATTCGCGTTCAAATATTGAAAGTGGTGACGAGAATAGTGTCTCTGAAGTAAGTTTAATTGAAATAAAATGAACTAAGTTAAATTCAATATTTACTTGATAGTTGACAGTGGCGTAATTACGGGGGGGGGGGATAGATCTCCAATATGTTTTCTTCCTATTTTTCCTCAGTTTACTCTTCCGAGGTGATTCCATGTGACTTTCAAAATCCAGACATTTACTCTTTTGATCTGCCAACAACGTCTCTTTAAGCGTAGATGATGTCTTCCAAAAATTATCTGAACTACATTGTAACAAATCTGTCGGTCCAGATGGCCTACCTGGTGTATTTCTTTTAAAGCTAAAATCCGTTATATCTTATCCCCTGTGGATCCTTCTTAGGCGATCACTAGATGAAGGCATCTTTCCACACATTCTTAAACTGGAATCAATTACGCCAATTCTGAAGTCCGGATGCCCAACTGATGTCTCCAACTATAGGCCCATCTCAATTTTATCGCATATTGCCAAAATGTTTGAGTCATTGGTCCAAAAGGGTATTCTTAGATCTTTCAATAATATTATTATGGAAGAGCAACATGGTTTCCGTCCGGGTCGTTCTACTATCACTAACAGCCTAATTTTTCATAATTATGTTTTCAACGCTTTCCAACATCATTCACAGGTGGACGTTATTTACACGGATTTTAATAAGGCCTTTGATACCGTGAACCATGCTGTCTTAGTGAAAATCCTTAAAGATTGTGGCATTGGTGAGCCGCTTTTGTCTTGGCTTAAATCCTACCTAGTTAACAGATATCATGGGTTAAACTACCCAACGCTAAATCTAACGTGCTCTTTGCCCCCTCTGGTGTTCCCAAAGGTGGACACCTGTCCCCTTTGCTTTTTTCTATCTTCATCAACAGCCTGAGTAAAACACTAAATCATTGTCAAGTTTTATGTTTTGAGGACGACATCAAGCTTTTTATGCAAATAAACTGCATTGAAGACAGTCTTAAACTAAAAAGTGATTTAGGTAGATTTGTTGCTCCTTTTGTTAAATTAGGTTTGTCACTGAATCTAGGTAAATGTAAAGTCATGAACGTTTACTAGATCCCGCTCTCCGTTAACGTTCTCCTACCATATTCAGGATTCAATAATTATTTCTCGCTGTGATGGATTTACGATGGATCTTGAGTTCAAACTCTCCAGTAACCTTGACCCAGGCCTTCACATAGAAATGGCTTGTTGCAAAGCTCTGAGAATGTTGGGTATAATAATGAGATTGTCAAAGGACCTTAACCTAACTTCGTTATTGAAAGTTCTATAATGTTCGTTAGTCCGGCCAATTATTGAATATGGTGCCATTATTTGGGATCCCCAGGGGCGGACTGGGCCGGCGGGAAACCGGGAACTTTCCCGGTGGGCCGATGTTCAAAAATAATTTGTTATTATTACATTACTTATTACTTAAAATAAAATAGCCAATAGGTATAAATTCAAATGATGAATATTTTATACTTTCATATTATCATTACGCGCGTGTATGAAAAATTGATTACATTTGGTGTTTAAAAATAGATTTTAGGTTTTGGTTCGGCTGATACTCCATCAGGAGTTTGCGTATGATCAATAATTTGAATAGTATATTATTTTAATAATGCAAGAAAATCTTTGCAATCAACCGCAAATAAGCATTAAAAATGTAAATACCTATCTATTACCTAAAATTATTATTTTTCCCTAGTATTTTTTTAAAATAATAGTTATGCAATATGAATATAATTTATTTCCAAAGGAAAAATGAGTTAAATCTAGTTATAACTAATAAAAGTTAATATACTACAATATAAGTGTCATAATATTTTATATTTTTACATAAGGTATTAAATATTATTATGTTATGATTAAATGACTTTTACCAATATATTATTTATTTGTGAAGTACTTCATTAATATTAAACAAAATTAAAATTACGTATTGAAACTATTTGGTAAGTTTAGCTTAACAAATCTTAAGTTTCACACGAGTTCCGAACCCAACAGTTCCAAAAACCCCTGGCTAATAACCTCTTAGTTGATGCCATAAAGATGCAGCTGCAGACAGATATCATTGCTCAAAACTCAAAAGCCACACACGGTCCGGTCGGCCTGTCAGTTATGCCTGCACAGGCCGCCGGAGACCGGTCGGCCGGACTGACGTCACTACGTCAGCGCTCCCATACGTTCCGGCGAATCTGTCCGGTCGCGGCAAGTTTTTTATTGTATTTATTTTATATTGTAGAGACATGGCTACCAACGAAGACGCGCTTGCTATTTTAGGGTTGTTGATAGCCATGAAAAATATTAAAATTAAAAACCGTAAACGTAGACTGTGGTATAAAAATTGGTACAAAAAAGAAACGAATATTCACACATTAATCTGTTGACCCAATTCAAGTTGATTCAGAAAGACTGGCATAATTACTTGCGAATGGACGAAGAAACGTACTTCCAACTTCTTTCATTAGTGGCACCATTCATTAAAAAAAAAGATACAGTTATGATGAAATCAATCTCCCCACACGAAAGGTTAGTGTGGGGATCCCCAGAGGCGGACTGGGGCAACATTTTGGCCCGGGAAATCTATATTTTGACCCGGCCCTTGCCA